TCAAAAACCGGTTGGTCGTTCAAACCCCGTCCCAGGGAGGGACATAAACCCGTTGGGAAGTTGAACACCGCTGGACCCCAAACCGGTTAGAGTCAAAACCCGTCCCCAGGAAGCGCATTAACCCGTTGGGACCGGAACCCGTTGGATGACCCCATCAAACCCGTTTGAAAGTCGAACCCAGTTGGATGAAGAAGTTCGAACACGCTGGACCCCAACCCGTTGGACGTCAAACCCGTCCCAGGAGCGCATTAACAGGTTGGACGTCGAACCCGTCCCCAGGAGCGCATTAACCCGTTGGGAGTTGAACACGCTGGACCCAACCCGTTGGACGTCGAACCCGTCCCAGGAGCGCATTAACCCGTTGGGAGTTGAACACGCTGGACCCAAACCCGTTGGATGTCGAACCCGTTGGATGAGGAAGTCGAACACGCTGGACCCAACCCGTTGGACGTCAAACCGGTTGGACGTCAAACCCGTCCAGGAGCGCATTAACCCGTTGGGAGTTGAACACGCTGGACCCAAACCCGTTGGACGTCAAACCCGTCCCAGGAGCGCATTAACCCGTTGGGAGTTGAACACGCTGGACCCAAACCCGTTGGACGTTAAACCCGTTGGACGTCAAACCCGTTGGACGTCAAACCCGTTGGATGAGGAAGTCGAACACGCTGGACCCAAACCCGTTGGACGTCAAACCCGTTGGATGAGGAAGTCGAACACGCTGGACCCAAACCCGTTGGACGTCGAACCCGTTGGACGTCGAAGCCGTTGGATGAGGAAGTCGAACACGCTGGACCCAACCCGTTGGAAGTCAAACCCGTTGGACGTCAAACCCGTTGGACGTCGAAGCCGTTGGATGAGCGCATTAACCCGTTGGGAGTTGAACACGCTGGAGCCAACCCGTTGAACGTCAAACCCGTCCCAGGAGCGCATTAACCCGTTGGAAGTCGAACAGGCTGGACCCAACCCGTTGGACGTCAAACCCGTCCAAGGAGCGCATTAACCCATTGGACCCGAACCGGTTGGATGAACCCATCAACCCGTTGGACGTCGAACCCGTTGGACCCAACCCGTTGGACGTCAAACCCGTTGGACGTCAAACCCGTCCCAGGAGCGCATTAACCCGTTGGGAGTTGAACACGCTGGACCCAAACCCGTTGGATGTCGAACCCGTTGGATGAGGAAGTCGAACACGCTGGACCCAACCCGTTGGACGTCGAACCCGTTGGATGTGGAAGTCGAACACGCTGGACCCAACCCGTTGGACCCAAACCCGTTGGACGTCGAAGCCGTTGGACGTCAAACCGTCCCAGGAGCGCATTAACCCGTTGGGAGTTGAACACGCTGGACCCAAACCCGTTGGATGTCGAACCCGTCCAAGGAGCGCATGAACCCATTGGACCCGAACCCGTTGGATGAACCCATCAACCCGTTGGAAGTCGAACACGCTGGACGATTATATCAAAAGGTAGAGGGGGGGAAGATCGAGTCAGGGGCATAGAAGGTCAAATGACATCACAGATGAGAGGCAGATGTTGACGAGCACCACATAGAGATAAAAGATATATGCATATATAAAGATCGATGAAGCAAGAGGAAAAGGAGCAAAAAGAAAGAGGGTAAAGAGATATAATATAGCTAGATCAGGTTCAAAAATATTACCCCCATTTACTTGAGGAATTGGCTTTTAGTTTGACCTGGAATTGGCTTTTTTGGTGAGAACTTGGCAAGACTTGGCAGGGCTTGGCAGGGCTTGGCAGGTTTTAAAACCCAAGTAAGATCACGTGATAAAAGCCAGGTAAGATTATGTAATCTGACCCGACTTTTCTTACATAAGTTAATAGAACAGTATTATATAATCTTACCTGGCTTTTCTTACATAATATTTTATATTTAGCTAGAAGCTAATTCTATGGTGTACCATTAATTTACATAGAAGGGGTTCATTTTTTGGCGGTCGTCAAAAACAGTCTACTTGTATGACCTGAGTGGAGGGTGCCAGATTTTGGCGGTCGTTAAAATTTATGCCTACTTGCCTTCTAGTACCACATTGACAGGCTAAGACCAACACCACAGATACAGAAACATCTACATATTTTAGCATGAGATGATAGAGCAGCCTCTGGGCATTAAACTGATATATTCCATATTCCCATAGCCCGTGTAGTGGTGGAGATATTGTGGTTTAAATAATGGAGGGTTCTATGGGACGATAATACCGTATTAGGTTAGCGTATATTTTCTACAGCGGCGCTAACACGTTACAGTATTATACCCTAGTGCGCCGTCCGACGCGCCCCCGTCCGTCTAGTACCACATTGACAGGCTAAGACCAACACCACAGATATAGAAATATCTACATATTTTAGTATGAGATGATAGAGCAGCCTCTGGGCATTAAACTGATATATTCCATATTCCCATAGCCCATGTAGTGGTGGAGATATTGTGGTTTAAACAATGGAGGGTTCTATGGGACGATAATACCGTATTAGGTTAGCGTATATTTTCTACAGCAGCGCTAGCCCGTTACAGTATTATCGTCCCAAAGTCCCGGTCAGCGCAAGGAGTGGTTAGATGTGGATGAAATCATGCATGCTGGCTCTCTACCAAACATATTCAATGCTATCTAAGTTGCAGGTCAGTGGAATAGAAATTACGTTGTCAATCAAGGATGCAATTCTCTAGGGTTATTGCTAGGGTTGTTGCTAGGGTTAATGCTAGGGTTATTAGGGTTATTGCTAGGGTTATTAGGGTTATTTCTAGGGTTATTATTAGGGTAGCTAGGTTTCTAACATCTTTTATCTCCTTATCTCTTTTAACTTCTCCAAAGGCTACAGTACCTTAAGCTTAATTAATAAGATGGCTATTGGTCAAGTAGCTTTGGAAGCAGTTATAAGCAAGATTAATTCTGAGTTCTATCTACCTCTATCGCACCCCTTACGCCAACGGTGCTCTAAATATATATA